AAAGAGATCAAGAAGTTCCCCTCACCCCCATTTTTTTAGTGGTGCTAGGGATTGAACCCAGGGAGTACTGAGCTACAACCCCTTCTTTTAAATTTTGAGACAGGTTCTTGCTAAGTTGCCCAGGCTGGCTTTGAACTTTCAGTCCTCCTGCCTCAGCCTCTTGAGTAGCTGGGATTACAAGTATGCACCACCATATCTGGCAAGAAATATTATCTTTCACAAGTACAGGCATACCAAAGGAAATTGCTTCATTTATCAAGGAAGTTTCAATGTTTGTATGTACAGCACAATACTTATAAAAAAAGTCAATGTTGTGATAATGCAGTTTTGCAGAATCAAATAGGAAAAAAAGCACAAATCAAATAAAAAGAATTCTCTAAAAGTCTTTATACAATTTATACCTCTGGTGTTGACAATGATACAAATATGAGATACAGAGTATAAGAAAGTATAAAAAATGCAACCTAGGGCTCTACAGCTCAGTGAGAGAATGCTTGCCTCACTTGTGCAAGGCCCTGGTTTCCATCCCCAGCATCACATACACACAAAAATAATGCTGAAAATTTAAAATAGGAGAAAAAAAACTAAAGGAACAAAACATAAAACTTCAACATATGAAAAAAGTGTATTACAGGGATAAACTATGGGCAAAATATATGAAGACAGACTGTAAATCCTGACCAACTTTCAAGATCATTAACTATATTTTGAAGTTTCACATTAAGATAAATAGGTTCTGGGCCAGGGATTTAGCTCAGTGCCATGGCGCCTGCCTGGCAAGCAAGCGTAAGGTCCTGAGTTTGATCCCCGGTACAAAAAAAAAAGGTTCTTTTTAAGGCATGGCTCTTCTTGGAAAATATATTCACATTCATTTTTTCCCCCCCAGTACTGGGGATCAAACTCTGTGCTTGAAAGGCAGGCGCGATGCCACTGACCTAAATCCCTGGCCCTGACATTCATTTTCAATGTGATGTTGCTATTTTTGCAATTCTACTATGATTCAACATACAATGACATGATCATTTCCTGTTAAATTTGTCCATCTGCTCCATGCTTCTGTGCTGTTTTGGTACACAGAAATCCATTCTGCATGCATTCATATCCAGACCACAGCTTTGGCAGAAACAACACTGGCTATGGAATGAACAGCAACACCACTGCATTATCTTCTTATCCTACTGGGCATGTCCAACAAGTCAGTAACTTCATTAGCTTCTTCAAACAAAGCATACCTCTCTTTTTTTCTTTTCTTTCTTTCTTTTTTTTTTTTTCTTTTTGGTACAGAGGATCGAACTTGGGACCTTGCACTTGCTAGGCAGGCGGCGGAACCACTGAGCTAAATCCCCAGCCTGTTTGCTTTCTATTTTGAGATAGTCTTGCTATATAGTATAGGCCACCCTGGGATTTGCTATGTAGCTCAGGATGACCCTGAACTCATGATCCTCCTATCCTAGCCTCCTGAGTGCTGGGATTACAGATGTGCACCACCACACCTGGCTCTGACTTGGGTTTTTTTTTTGGGGGGGGGCACCGGGGATCATATTCAGGACTTGCACTTGTGAGGGAGGCCTGGAGCCACTGAGCTAAATCCCCAGCCCCTGTGACTCTAATTTATTAAAAACTGCTGGAATTTCATCAGCTGGAAGGAATGCCAAAAATGACAAATGACAGATTTAAAGTTAAGTTTTCATCATTGCTATTTCACATGACCAACATTCTTGTGAATTTTCTGTCAAATGCGTTGGGCTAAAACAACAATAACAAAAAAACTTATCAATAACATCCTGAAATTCACTTTTAGAAATTTTGATCAGATAATTTCAACCTGTTGGTATCATTTGGGAATTTAACTGAAACTAATTTTCCTCATAAATCTTCAAATAAGCCTTTAAAAAGTCTTTGTTTCTAGTCATTAATAGATGAAGGAGCAGATAAGTTCTAGAATTTTCAGACTCAACAAAGGGATGATGTATTTGATTAAAATAAACACACACTGGCAGTTTTCAAAAGTGCCATCCATTAGCCAAAGTGAGGCATGTACTAGTTTTTCAATGTTAGTGGTAAACATAAGAAGTCTATCTCATAAGAAGTCAAATCTCTAAGTTCAGAATTTCTGGGAAGATGGCAGAGTGAGGAGCAGCAGAGAAAGAACCTCTCCAGGATTTTGTGTCAACACTGAAATAGAGCAGTATGAGAAGGGAAGTGGGCTCCCAGGACTCAGGAAGGATCTGAAGTGAGAATTGAAGTCCATGGGGAGAGCCAAGAGACTGACTTCAACAAAAAGAGGGAGGTGGCAGGCAGCGCTTTGTCCCAGAATCTGGACTCACAGCGTGGGAAGGGCAGGTCGAATCTGTAGACACACAGTGACTACTGGCAATCCCAGAGGCCTTGAGGGAGAAAAACACCAGTGGAACAGGGCAGTGGACGCAGAAGACTGAAGTGGCTGGTGAGTTATTCGGGTTCAGATATCACCCAGGAGAGGACGATTGGCCAGTAGCCATCTTGGAGAAGGTCCAACTGAGCTAGGAACTCAGAACAGCTACAGGTCAACTCTAAGTAGTAGTTCCCAGTGTGACGGTGAGGGTGCCAGGTTCAAGTCTGCAGGAGGTCAAGGGAGTGCAGTTCAAGCCAGCAGGAAGCACACAGACTGTGGCAGACTCAACAGGTTCCAGCCACATAGCCAGAAAGCAGCCTGAACTTCAATGGAACTAAAAGTCCAAGCTTGCTGGGATTATCTACAACCCCACCATAAATCAACGGCTGGCTTGCTGCAATTAAACACCTCAGATCTGGACTCTGTCTGCAGGCATTGTCTACCAGTGACAGCAGGGACACACCTTGAATTGGACATTTTTTTCTTCTTTTTCTTTTTTTTTTCCTTTTCTTTTCCTTTTTTCTGATTTTTGTTTTTGTTGTTTTATTTTTTCTTGACTGTTCTTGTTTTTACATGAGTGTGAACACAGTTTTTAACTTTTTTGTTGTGGTTGTTCTGTTCTTGTTTTTATTTCTTCCTTCTCTCTTTCCCTTCTGTTTTCTTCACCAGTTTCTCAAAGTTTGTATTATCTTCTGTTGTCCTCCAGCCATGCTTGTAAACTCATCTTCCGTTTCTCTATTCCCCCCCCCCTTCTAAATCTTCTCCCCTTGGGGTAAAATTGCCACAGTGAGGGCTTATTTATTGTATACAATTTCCTAGTTTATTCTAGATTTTGTTATATAACCACAAATCTAGTTCAGATGGTTAAAGGTGACAAATAGTTACCACAGTTTGTCATTTTCTAGGCTATGTTTGATGCTATTGTTATTGCTGATTGTACTACTTTAGCCAAGGTGACATAATTGTGCTAAATCAGTTGTTCTTCCTGGTATACCAAGAAGTCTGCCTAAGGGCCTTAAAAAGAGTCAAATCTCTAATCCCACTTAATATGTTTTCTAACACTGAGGGTACCTCTGTATCTTCAAATGCCTTTGGTTCAGAAAATAATAAACTTGTCAAATTCTTCTGTTCTGACAAAGTATATATTTTTTAAAGTAAATATGGTACTATGGTTGAAGGGGCAGAAATAGTACAGAACTGAATTTGAGCAGGGAGATTGCTTGTATTTTTCACCTACATTTTGACTTCTTTGATCTTAGTGACACTGCACTTTTTTTTAGTACCAGGGATCGAACTTGGGTCCTTGCACTTGCGAGGCAGGTGGCAGAACCACTGAGCTAAGTCCCCAGCAGACACTGCACTTTTATTTGGAGAGTGATTTTGGTCCACAAATTTTCTAAGTATATGTTATTCATCTGAAAGTCTGGTTAAGGCTGGAGATGTAGCTCAGGGGAAGAGTTCTTGCCTAGCATCCATCAGGCTCTGAGTTCAAACTCTAGTATTACAAAAAGAAAATCTGATTATTGAAACTAAATAACATTGCTTTCATAGCACCAAAAATTAGCTTTCAAAGTTTTATCATTCACCATTAAGCAGCCTAAGAACAACAAAGTTAACACAGCATTTTTTAAAGGGAACTCACAGATTCCTTCCATCATGTTCAAAGGAATACAATAAGAAGTAACAATATTTGGTTTCAATAGCAAATCCATCTTAGGGTTCTCCAGAGAGACAAAACCAATAAGCTATATAGGTAGTTATATGATAGAGAATTTATTGGAGGAATTGGCTCATTTAATTATGGTGGTTGAGAAGTCCCACAACAGACAATCTGAAAGCCTGGGATGCCAGTAGTATGGCTTAGTCTAAGCCCAAAGACCTCAGCAGCAGGGAAGCCAATGGTGCAAATCCCAGTCCAAGACCAAAACTCTGAGGACCAGGAGCCATTGATATTAAGTCCCAGAGTCCAAAGTCCAGGAGTTGATGTCCAAAACAGTGGAAGAAAACTCTTTCCTACCACTAAGAGACCAATTCACTTTCTGTACTGTTCTCTGGAGGACCCAGGCCCCACTGAGAGGGATATTCTCCACATACTCCATCCAGACTCAAGGCATTAGTCTCTTCTGGAAACATCCTCACAGACATGCACAAGATAACGTTTAACCAGGTTTCTTAGTATATATCGTACTTAATAGGATGGAACTTTCATGCACGTGACTGAAAATATATTAATCCCTTCCCCCAGTATTCTGCTTTCTATTGCTCTTACATAAGCCTTTTTTAATGGGAATTGTAGTTTTCAAACTTTTGGCTTCCAGGATTTCAACATTTGAGATTGTAATCTAGGATTGTGATTTGTGGGGGGAAATTTTAGACTTTAGGGATTTTGATCTTCTGGAATAGCGATATTTGGAATTAGAAATTTTGGGAATGTTTTTCAGTATTATGACTGGCACTTCTCTTTTAGTGCTTTCTCACAATCCATCCAGTCTTCGCTCATACCATGTACCTTCTCAAAAAGATACAACTACTTTATTACTTTATATTTAGATATTTAACATCAATTGCAAGAGTTTGTAGAAATCTCATTGAAAATTTGGCTCAAACACATGAACAGTAGAAGTATCAACAAGTTCAACCAGGAAAACACCATTTCCAGTTCCAATATCAAGCACTGAAGCATCCAATGGGATCTTGTGTTTCTGCATCCACCTTATTAGTCGAGTCATACTCTCCTCCCCAAACCTGTTAGAAACAGAATCAATTACAAATAATAAACAGAACAAAAGTTACAGCTGTATTCCATTTAAGGTGTTTATATCATGTGCCCAATTAAGACTTTTTTGAAAGTGAGAAGTTATTTGTGACCGTGTAAGTTTTGTCTTTATAGTTACTTATGAGAAAATATCACCAAAAATAGAACACAATAGACATACAGCTTATTACTTACTAATACTTTTCTACATTACCATTAATACTTGAAAATATTGTCCCAACAACTGTTTTCTTGAACATCAGTACATGCTGATGGCTCAAAATTATTGCTTATTGAAAAATGACAACTACAGAACAAAAGTAATTTCTTAATATTCTGATCAATTTAAATGTATGTCATTTAGGGCTGGGGATTTAGCTCAGTGGTGCCACTGCCTGCCTCACAAGCACAAGGTCCTGAGTTCAATCCCTGGTAACAAACAAACAAAAAAAAAAGTAAGGCATTAAAAAAAAAAAACAGATACTTTAATTCTACCAACTTAAGCCAGACTCAATCCAGGGTTCCCAAGATTTTTAGGTGTCTTTCTTTGGTGTAAGTGCACATACACATCTCGATACACTATTCTGGATCGTAATTTTTCTAACTCACCAGATTTCTCCTGTATCTCCATATTCTTGGAAAGTTTGTAGTTCTCTCTCATAGACAGCATTCCAACTATGTAAAAGAAAATACAAGGTGAGATTCTAGAATTAGACTGTATTATAAATTAAGTATATGCTTCCAATACATCACAGAGAAATTTAAAACTTTAAAATAAAAATTTAATTATGCAATAAGTGCACATAGTTCAATTTCTTAACATCCTTGGGTTAAAAGAATGGAAGTGTGGCCAAGCAGATTAAGTTCATGCATATATGTAAAGCACTTAGAATATCAGATGTATAAGTGGTATATAAATTTTAGCTTAAAAAAGCCCGAAGAGGGGCTGGGGATTTAGCTCAGTGGCACCCCCACCTGCCTTGCAAGCACAAGGTCCCGAGTTCGATCCACAATACTGAAAAAAAAGCACAAAGGGACAATTATCCAAGTTTCTTAAGTCCCAGACCCAAGTCCAAAACTCTGTGCAAGTATAGAATTTTTACCAAGTATTTGGTTTTCGAGGTGCAAACATAGTCTTTTCATACAGGAAAACCCATCAGAGATAAAATCTGCTTAAAGGTTAAGGTTAAGTCATAAACCAGTCTATTTCCTCTATTTGTCTCCATTTCCCCCTGTATTCTAACCTTATGTTGATATTTTCTCTTAGTCCCCTTTTTTCTTTTTTGGTACCGGGGATCGAACTCAGGACCCTGCGCTTTCGAGGCAGGCGGCGGAACCACTGAGCTAAATCCTCGGCCCCTCTTAGTACTTTTAAGTACAGTACTGCACTCTCATTTGCCTTTTCTTCCTACTTGATCTCTCTAGAATGCCCCGTTTCTTTTCATCCCTTCAAGTTACTTCTGATTCTAACGGTTCCCCACATCCATTCATTCATCCGTTAATTCATTAAGCAATTACTAAGCCTCTGTTTTACGTCAGATCACTTTCTCTTACTCCCTCCCCAAATGCCCCACTATCTCCTCACTCCCTCCTCAGGTCATCTATCCCTCTAAGTCTCAGATCCTTTAGCCTTTTCAGCTAAAGGCCCTCGGCCTCTTACCCTTGCCCACCAGCCCTATTCACCAGCCTCACGCCCTCTTTCTTTTTCCCAAGCCTGTGCCAGTTCAACATCCCTACAAGGTCTCCCCAAGAGCATCTTAGTCCGTCCCACACCCACAGATCTCTTCTCTTGAAAACCAGTTAAGCTTCCCCAAAGTGGTTCCCGAGATTCCTAATTTCAAAACCCTTAAACGTCCCAAGGCGGCCCTTCAGGCTCCTCCCATCATACCCCCAAAGGCTCTTCCCTTCCCAGAGTGTCCTTTCACTCCGGCCGTCTCCTTCCCCCGCGCAGGCAGGGGATCGACGTTCACCCTCTCCTGACCCCGGGCCGCACTCACTGTTCTCGAGTCCCCAACGCCGACGGGACAAAGCCATCCTCCGCAGGACTGCCGTCTCGAGACCTCGTCGATCGCGCCGCAAGCGTAGCGCCACTACCGTCGCCTTGAGCGCCTGCATTCATTTTGCTCAGCCACCAAGTCGCCCGTTGGGGCCGCCATAGAGACGCGGCGCAGATAGAGCAGACAGGCGGGTTTGGCCTCTCTAGGCGCTAGGAGGCCGCTTTTCTACTCTTCCGGGCGGCCGGCGCCGGTTGGGGTTGAAAGCCTTGAATTCTCAGTTTCTTCCCGGTCCCTAGCATAGTGGTGGGCTGCAGTCTCACTTCCTGCTCTGCGCTCTCGGACAGCGTTAGACGCACTGAACAGTGGGACCGTTAAAGTATTGCATTTTGGAAAATGTCTAGCAGAAGGAAAGCCACAGAAACACCAAAAGCCGGCACCACTCAACCCAAATACAAAAGCCACCTCATTGCTGCACATCGTAGGCACGTCTGGGGAGGGTAGGGCCGTGCATCGCATTTTTGGCTTCCTGGCCAACAGGCTAATTTCATTTGTGGCTGGGATTGTGACATGGAAAAAGCATTCTGGCCCCTTCTCACTTGTCACCAATGTGGGCGTTTACGTCTAGGGAAATGAATGCCTTACTTTTCTCCACAGTGCGCCAGCCACGGGGATCAGCGTGTTGTCGCAGAAAGACACAATCTGTAAGAGTCAAGGAAAATCTTCAGACAACCATGAGTAAAGTAAAAGGCAGATGGGAATCCATGTGCATAGTGATTAAAGAACTCAAGAAAGAGCGTAAGTAACCTTATTACAGAGCAATAAAACCACCGGATACCATGGCCAATTAATGCTGGTCTGGGCAAATAGTTATTTTGATCTTCTCTAGACTCTAGATGGTAAGGAAAGCAAGCTTGATTGAGTCGGTTTTAAAAGTTTTAGGCTCTAATTAAGAAGCACCCATGAAAGATAAGTCCATCTTCAGCCTGGTGTCTTGCCAACACTTAAGATGTTTTTGCTTTGTGTGATGAAAGCTATAAACAGTTGTTGGTAAGGAGCCCTGGAAAAATCCCACGGTTTATGCAGAGTTCCTTCCCTGGCTCCAGGCAGGATTACTCTGGCTGTTTAGGCCTGAAGGCTGTGTGTGGCACCACCTCTGATTACCAGGGCAATGGAATTCTTGGTAGGGGGGAAGAGAAATCCAATCAAGCAAGATGCCCATCACCAGAGAGAAGTAGGAATGTGCCACAGAACACAGTCCTTTTGACTGGCTGCCTATCACATGAGGCAGAAGAGAGACTTTCAGCATTTGAGGCTGCCTGCCTCCTTGGTTTTCCCATCCCTGCACACTGGCACCTGAATCACCCACAACTGCTTCCAAGATTCCTCAAGCACTTCCTCAAGCTGGCAAACACCAGGTTCAAGGGCAAAGCTTTCCCTTTCTTGACTCTGCAGTCAGCATCACTGAATGCACTGCTTGAAAACTCCTCTTTGTTCTCCTATCACATCCTGCTCTGAAGTGAGCCTTTGAAAAAGGGTACTGGGTACCCAACTCTAGTCAGACCCCCAGGTTTTGACCCCGGCCTTACCATGTGTGACCATGACCAAGTTACTTAACTTCCCAGGGCCTCAGTTTGCCTATCCTTGTAGCAGGAATAATAATAGCACTTGTCATAAGGAGCAGCTACAGAGAATAAATGAGATCAGTCTAGTCAAATCTTACCTGCCTGGCACACGGTAAATGCTTAGTAAATATGAACACAGGTCTCTTCAACTATAAGATGAGGTTTAAAATGAGTTTCCATAAGGAAGATTAAGCTAATACACTGTACCTGGCAAGAGCTTAGAATAGGGTCCAACACACAGTCAGTGTTCAGTAAATGTTAGCTATGATTCTTATTACAAGTTGAGCATCCCTATTCCAGAAATCCAAAACCCAAAATACTTCAAAATCTAAAACTTTGCACTCAAAATATTTGAGATTTGGCGGCATTTCAGATTTCAGATAGGGAAGCTGAATAATAAAGTCTATGCAAATATTCTAAAATCTCAAAACTCCAAAATCTGAAACACTTCAGGTCCCAAGCCTGTAGTGACTTTCAATTCTAACTTCTTGTCCCAGCTCCATACTTCTCTTGCCACTGCCTGGATGTCCCTTGTTACATTAAACTCAATAAAAGCAAACTCACTTGCCTCTCATGACTCTAAATCCTGTCTTAGCTGTTCTGCATGTACCATCTACATTACACCTACACTATCTACACTATCACCCTACACTATCTACACTACCACGACCATCTACACTATTACCTAAAGTGGAGCATCATTCTTGTCCTTCCTTTCCTGCAGTTTCCTGTTAGTCTCCAAACTCAGGGACATTTCTCTAGCCTGTCACTACAGCCCTCACTTCCTTCTCTCCACTCAGGCTCACTCCACATTATTGACCATTGCAGCAGCTTCTGAATGAACATCCCAGGAGCTATTCAGCACTAGGTCCCTTGTAAGGCCTCAGGTCTGCCTGGCTCCCTTTTCTTCCTCCCAAAAGGCCTCCAAGATTCAGCTAGTTTTCTTTTCTTTCATTGTCTAACATCATTCATCTCTTTCCTTTGCATTTTCCTTCCTGATCATGGACCACAGGGTTAAGCTGATTTGAACTTCCATCATAATTTAATTTGTTCCAGGAATGACCTTAGGAAAGTTACTTAAATTAAACCTCTTAAATCCCAGTTTCCTCAGCTACAAAATGGGCATAATTCAAATGAAACTGGCCTTTCTTGTTACCATTTTTAGACCCATCAGAGAAGAGTGTGGCATTCCCATGCATGTATGCACAGGCAGAAATAATTGTTCTGTTTCAATATATATAAATGGAAATTTAACCATTTGCAGTGTTTTCAACTTGAGAAAATTGTGGCAATGTACTTGGAGGTTTTTTGTGGGTTTTTTTTTTTAGGTCTTTTTTTGTCAATGCGTATAGATCTCCTATCTTCTAAACTACTTCCTAATAATAGAAATAATGGCTAGCAATCATAAGCTGTCAGTGTGTGCCAGGAAATTGTGTTAAACATATGCAGTTTATTATCTTAGTTATGCCTGAAGATAGCCACACAAGGTAGATAACTAGTATTGTACTCATGTCATAGACAAACAAACCAGATCATAGAGAAGGCCTAAGCATACACAGTGAGTACCAGAGCTGATACTGTGTGGTGGATTAACTAATGGTCAACTTGTAACACCCATCTGAGTGGAATCAGCATGGTCTGGGTGTGGAAGACCCATCTGAGAATTGTTGCCGATAGCATAAACAGAAAACTGGAAGCCAGGAATTTAGCTCAGTGGTTCCGCTGCCTGCCTTGCAAGCACAAGGACCCGAGTTCAATCCCCAGTACCAAAAAAAAAAAGAAAGAAAGAAAGAAAACTGGAGGGGAAGAATGTCAGCTATTGATTTCCTAACTTTTTTTTTTTGGTACCAGGGATTGAACTTGGAACCTTGGACTTTTGAGGCAGGTGCCGGAACCACTGAGCTAAATCCCCTCCCCTAGCTGTTAATTTTCTAGGAGAATCTTGCGGCAGTTGGTTTTCCTGATTCGAACTTAGCTGTTCTTGGAGGAGGAGCTCGGGCCTCAATGTTGCTGGGAATGACTGAGGTTCTCTTCAGAGGAGCTCTGGTGAGCATCACTTCCTGGCTCCAATATAGATTGCTCAGCCTGGTGGTACAAATCTTTCACCCCACCAGTGCAGGTCTTCTGGCTTCCACCACTGGCCTTTGGGCCTTCTGGATGCAGATCCTGGATATGGGAAAGCATGAGACATTGCTGTGGGCTCTAGGCCACTAGTTGGACTCATGGGGTACATTGACTTGGATTTTAGGCCTTCACCTGGACTTGTGTGGGACATTGCTGTGGAATCTAGGCCCTTGGCTGGATTCTTTGGGTCTCTGATGTGTGGCTAATCTCTTGCACTCCTCTGCATTTGACTTTTGGTGTTACTGTTATAAATTATGTGTTCTGTATTAAATCTGTTCCCTTGCAAATCCTGACTACAACATACTGGAACCCAAACAGTCTGCACTAGAGCCTTCGCTTACAACCACTATACACATGAGTATGCTATATAAGTATAGATGTTTTGTTGACAATTTATATGAGGATATCAACCACAAGAGATTACAGCACACAACACTAGCTCCTAAAAATTCTTTATCCTCATACTCTGTCCCCCAAGATCACAATATCACTACAGCTACTCATCTCTTTCCATTCTTGCTCCTTTCCCCCAAACTCTGCCAGTACATCTGGCTCTATTTCCTCTTTTATTCCTGTGTTTTAGGTTTTTTGGATGGGTGGATCTAATCCAGGGCCTCTTGCATGGTAGGCAAGCACTCTACCACTGAGCCACATCCCCAGCCCGGGAAGGGATAATTCTTCGTTATGGGACCTTTCTTGAGTTAAGATACCCTTTCCTGAGTTCCACAATGGAAAATGTCTCCAAATATTCCCAACAGTCCTTTGAGGGGCAAAATTGTCACCAAGTAGGATTCCCTGATTTAATGACATTATGAAAACCAGGATGAGAGATGATAGTGGTTTGGACCGGTGTGGCATGTGTGCTGGCAAGACCTTGTCTTGATCAATATGTAGATGGATCTCCAGAGTCCTACAATTCAAGGTCTTGCTACATACAGAGTCTGCCAAAAAAAAACCCTACATACACACTTTAGCAGTTTGTCATACTAATAAATGTCTAGAAGCTAATAGCCACCACTTTGAGCACCTCTTGTAATTGTAGAGGCCAAAGGTAAGTTGTATTAATCTCATGATGTCTCAATAAATTTAGTATTAAAATATTTATGGGCTGGGGATGTAGCTCAGTGGCGCCA